TGTTTACCTCCCCTTCATGTGTTATCTGACCTAAGCCCTCCCCCCCACCAGGCTGTCTTGCACTCTCACGGGTTGTTTTAACTCGGTTTTCCTTTTGTGTATTTCAAGCTGTTGTTCTGTTGTTTTGTTTGTCTAAAGGTAGCATAACTGTGTTTGCTGCATGACCTGTCTTAACTGCCCTCTCCCCCCTTCCCTGAATGCACAGCACCTTGTGAATTTATTTCTGTGAAAGGCGCTATATAAATAAAACTTTACTTACTTACTTTACATTTGCTTATTGCATAAGGTCAATAAAGGTTAAAAGGAAGAAATAAGATAATACAAGAAATATATACATCAATAAAAAGCAAAAATTGACAAATAAGAGTAGTGTCCTTGTGATAAATTTATTCATATATGTATGTACATACATGCACACACATAGGGGGGATATGTGGTTTGAAATCAGCTAATAAAGTCCATAAGTACATGACCCTGTCTTTTATAAATCCTCTGGAATGTAAGAAACCTTCCTCGTGTGCATCACAGTGTCACATGTTCACTAAAGTCACACCCTGAACCCGACAACAGTGATGATGACTTCTCTGCTATTTCAGCTCAGTGGCCACATCTGACTGAAATGTTTAGTAAAATGGTTATGGTTCTAAAAAAAAAAGATATTATTTCATGAATGTCATTGATTTGAATCATCTCACCCCTTGAAGCATCTAAACGCAGCAGAGAGCAGTGCTGTTTTCTTTACACTGAAATGATCTCAGTGTTTTCATGATGAGATCCTGAACCTRGTTGATGATGTGTGAAATTACCCCACAGCTCTGCGGTGGGGAAAATTCTCCATCATTGGCCTCACCGTGGGTGAGCGCAACTGTAGAAAAGAACCTTTGAAATGTTCCTGTTGTGTTTTATTGACTTGCTGTTTTTTTTTTCTTTCAGGTGTTGTGTTTCGATACTCTGATCATCAGCATCCACATGAACAGGCCTTGAAGGACAGAAATGTGAGTTACACTCTGTCAAAATCTAAACATGGTTGCATCTTGGAGTTTATTTTTAGTGTGTAATTGCGCCTGACAGACAAATTCACAGCAGCAGTTTTTGGTGTGAGCAGAATGTTTCTGAGGCGGCAGCAGTTTTAATAACTATGAACCTCAGCGGCGACCTACATCTCGGTTAAGTGCTGCTGATGAGAGAAAACTGAAGGTGGGAATCTCCAGCGAGGGTTCAAACTCAACTGTGTGATGAAAAAAAATGAGCAGCTTAAAGGGCTTCTAACTAAACCTTACAGATAACTACTTAGAGCCTTTCATGAGTGCAGGACTCTGAAATCAGAAGGAGAAATTGCAAAGTGAGATTAATGAGGCTCATAAGGTATAAAAAGCCTTAAAAGGGTTTTCTCCTCTAAAGCTGCTCTCACACTGTTCTGTATTTTGTTCCCTATTAGACATCAGTCAAACCGAAGAAATGAAGCACATGTAAAATATCAGATGTGTCAAGAAGCAAAGTACAAGTATTTTGTGACCTTATTTCAGTAGAAGTTTTGGTTTTCTATATTTCACTGGAGGAATTATTTTTCAGCCCAAGTTTTATTTCTACTTCTTACATGTATTTCATTTTTGGCTTGTCATTGCTCAAACTAAAAACCCATCCAGATATATGGTGCCTCCTGGACAGAGTGAATTTAAATTTTAAATGTGGTTGGATGACAAGTATAAAAATAAACCATTCTAACACCCTGCTGGTTTGTATGCATCCATCCATCCATCACACCTGCACATGACACCAATCATCACGCTCCAGCAGGATGTAGAGATATGTAACTGTGCCAGATAAATATACTGCATGCAGCTGAAACAGGTACACTAGCCTGGTGCATTTCATCATTATTATAGTCATTGTGACCAGCATAGGCGTAATTTGCAAGGGGTTTAGGTGGGTTATGACCCCCACAATAATTTGATCCAGTGAATATAACCCACCCAATAAAATGACATAATTTGTTCAAACACAATAGAAATTAACTGGCTAAATACAAAGATGCAACTCTTGTTGTTTTAGGTAACCTGATTTAAAAATGCATGATGTCATACATGTACGTTTAAGCATAACTGTTAAACATGACTTGAAGAGTTTTAGAGCACCCCCCCCCCCCCCATTGTAGACATAAAGTTACATCCTTGATGACCAAGGGTGGACCTTAACAGAGTACATTTACRAGTACTGTACTCAAGTACATTTTTTAAGTCTCTTTACTTTACTTAATTACTTTCAGTAAGAAATTRAGTATTTTTGACTCCACTACATTTCTAGGAAGCTTGTCGTTACTCTTTCCGTTTGGCTCAGCAATTGAAAAGCAATTGGCTACACACTATGTCCTAGAGGTGGGAATCTTTTACTGTCTCACAATTCGATTCGATTCAGATTTTTGGGGTCACGATTCGATTCAAAATCAATTTTTTTTTTCATTCAAAACTCAACGTGGGCCCATTTGTCGCGTTTCTAAAGTGCTTCATCTTCATTTTGCAAATTTTGCACACAGCGAAGCGCATGTTAAACTCAGACTCATTCAGCAAAAAAACAAAAAGAGCCCAAATCTTTGCATTCAATGAAGACAGGGTCAGCTGAATCTCTCTTTCCTCCAGTTTTGTAGTTTCCTCTTTGTTATGGTGCTTTCTGCGCATGCATACATTCCAGAACCAGCTCCATGTGACGTCAGGACGTCCCAAGTGGTTACAAAATGGAGGTTGAACTTGAAAACCTTTGGATTTTCTATTTTCTTTTATATGT